GGTCCAGATTGAATTTGGGTCGATTTGATGATCACGGATGTTTGGTAGTGTTTGAATTTTAATTTTTTTTTTATAAATCTAAATTATTTGAAATTTTAGATGTGTATTTTTTTTATCAAGCTGTATTTAATAAAAATATTTAAAAAATAATTCGTCTAAATGACATTGATCAAAATACTTTTAAAACTTTTTGGGGGTATTTTTATCAATTTATTTTATATAAAATATTTTTTTTGATATTTTTCGAAGATTCGTTTATTTTTTATGTATACATGTATCAAATTTCAAGTGATTTGGATTAATAGAAAAAAATTAAAACTCAAATATTACCAGACATCTGTGGTCGTTAGATCGGTTTAGATTCAATATGAGTTATTGGGTTTATTTTTTTCTGTGAGCTAGTGGGTTCATATATATATATATATATAATTTTATTTAAGTTTTTTAAAATACCCAACCGGACTACAAAAACTAGCCAAAATCTTACCATTTGGTGCCCAGTTTCAGTTTGACTGACTGGCTGGTTTTGAGTTGGACAAGCCAAGTTTACAGGATGAGGGTTGATTGCCCTCTCTTTGTTGATAAAGTCGTTTAGAATGCTATATCAATCCAATTCCAACTCAATGCGTCGACCTTTGGCCCTATTGCGACAATCGTGTTATGAATATCCTATTGCGATGGCAATAATCAGAGTCGTGTTATGAATATCAGCATGCATTGTTGGCATGTGGGATTTCGTAAGCATCTCCAGCCTAAGAGGCTGGAGAATTTTTGAGGTGGTGGAGAATTACATATTAGCTCGAAAACCACAAGCTTGGGAAAAAGAATGTGCAAGTTATTCACAATGTGCAAATTAGAATTTTTGAGGTGGTGGAGAATTACAGATTAGCTCAAAAACCACAAGCTTGGGAAAAAGAATGTGCCAGTTATTCACAATGTGCAAATTAACGTGTAAGAGCAAGATGCATCTAAATTTGGACTTGGAAAAAAAGAAAAAATTATGGGATAGGTTTCTATTCTTCCCCTAAAGCATAAAAGATACATATTTTCCCTTTCATCGAGCTATCCAATTTTGATCAAGTCAGCCAATCACTATTTGTTGCATAAAAGATGCATGTTTTTTCCATCGAGCTATCCAATTTTGATCAAGTGAACCAATCACTGTTTGTTGCATAAAAGATACATGTTTTCCCTTCCATCGGGCTATTCAATTTGATCAAGTGAGCTAATCACTGTTTATTGCATAAAAGATACATGTTTTCCCTTCAATCGGGCTATCCATTTTGATCAAGGGAGCCAATCATTGTTTGTTTGATCTAGATCCAACACATCATAGTATTTTATTTTTCGTTTTTTCTTGCCATATTAAATTTGGTATGTGCCATATTCTCATATGACGCCTCATATACATCAAAATTTACTAATTTTGGACTCTAACCTCCTCAATTTAGTGTTTGATCTTACAAAATTTATACCCTCAATTTGTACAAGGTTTTTTGCTTGGCAGAGTATAAATACAATATGATCCTCATAGAGCATGTACTCACGCACTTCTACTCATTTATGTAGTAACTGTTTTTTCAGCGCAACAACCCATTTGGAGCCCATAGACTGAAAACTTCATAAAGATCAGATGTAAAATTTATAATATCAAAATGCACCCACCGTTAAGGCATTTTTAGCCAATTTGGATATTACATATTTTTTTATCTTTATTTGGATCGCCTTGTTGAGACTTGCATTCTTCTAAAGTTACAAGTCAAATAGTTTATAAATGGCAAGGTTTATACGATACATAGCTTAAACATTCAACCTGCAATCCCTGTGAAGATGTAGTTCAATAACTTTTGATATTTAAATTATGAAATGTATATAATGAGATTATTTACTTTAACACAAGGTGGTCACAATCATCATTGATGGTTAGATTTGAAATCGAGTGACTATCAATATTTGGGCACAATGTCTAAAATAAAATTCCTTGAATGTCAGGATATACTTTTATCTATCGGATTTCACGTCCAATTGCTGAAAGCAATGGTTTAAAAAGCGGATCGGTGACTCGGATCGGGCACCTAAAAACCGATCCGGATCGGCGAATCGACGATCCGGATGGGGAATCGGGTGAATCGGTCAGATTAAAGCTTCAAAAAAATCTGAAAAAATTATTAAAATTCATTATAAATATTGTTTTCAGGAATTCAATAAAAAATGAGGGTATTCCATTAAGAATTTTCATTTCTTTGCATGAATATGCGAATATTGATATGTTCTTTCCATGCTTGAACTACTATTTACCATTTAATTTACGTCACACAAAAGGATAAACATAGAATTATCATGGAATAAGTATATCAACATACGTGGACTATAATAAAGCATACAATTAGTAACATACGATCTAAAAATAAAATGACAGACGACGTCGTTCTTCTTCTTGGTCACGCTGGTGCCATTGATTGAATTCGTTTGACAATTCATTGATTCGATCTAAAAACGAATCATCGATATTAGCAGGCGTCTAACTATATCCAAATCCCTGAGTGTTCTATTGTGTTCCCAATCCAAAATCCCCGAAGCTTGTCCATCCTTCATGCTCACCTACACTGTCGTGCTCATCCCTACCCTGTTACTGTTGGGACTCGATATGTGAATCATATTGTTGGGATAAGGTGGCCTCGGAATCATCATCTCTCTCATTTTCCCTTAGACCCATTTCCCACTCTCCGTCATTAGGTGCAATATCACCGACATCTCCGACGAATTGTGGATACGTTGGCTGACTGTTTCCTCTTTCATGCTGCTCATCTCC